AAATTATTATTTAACACAAAAAGTAAAATAATAAGTACAAATCTGTGGCTTGGAGCTAATGTCACTTTTTGGAACTTTCGGAAAATGAGCTTTGAAGTTTTTAGTTTCCATTAGGCTCTATGTTAATTTTTTTATCAAACTCTTAATGAGTAATTCATTTTTTGGCCTCAGAGTGTGATTTTTTCACAGTGTATAAAGAATGTTTTAATTTTTGCAATTAGCGGTCTAATTTTTTTATGCACAAAATTGACATTGACCCTTCTTGCTCCAACCCACAGAAATAGTTTTATAAGTTTTTGAATAATATTCATAATTTTTATTTTTTAAATAGAATGTTGCACTTACGATGAGGCCAAAGGAATAAATTGCAAATAACACGACACAACGAAGACGCATTTTTGAGTTCATTACCAAAAAAATACCTATAACAAAAAAAAAAACAATAATAGGGTCATTCCATAACAAATCACCTAATGTGTGAGCGAGTGGATTATTTAAATGCCTCAAACTTACATATCCTATGCTAACAATTCCATAAAACAAACAAATGAAGAAAAAAATGTTTAAACATTTTTTGGGACTTAGGCGATGCTATTACTAAAATTTGTTGTAAAAACACTTTAAGTTCACGATCACGTTACTATTAATGACTAATTATGATATCGTAATGGAACTTTCTCTTAACTCTTTTAATTTAAGTGTTCTTTTTCATACACTTATTATTATGTATGTAAAACATTTGCTAAAAGTTTTGTAATAGAGACTTTCTCAAGGTCAAAATTTAAAAATATTTTCATTCTGATACATCATACTATACTCTTTTGATTCATAACTTTGTTTTAGAATTTTTTGGTTTTTTTTTGTGAAGTACAAAGAACTTCAATGTTTGGCATTTTAATAAGAACTATATACTTAAGAACCTCTAACTTTTTGTTTTTGACCTTGAGTACGTAAAAAAAAATGTATTCATAGTCATATAATACGAAATTTTAGAAATTCAAAGTCTCACAGCTCCTAGTAAAAGAAAGTCTCCATTACAAAACTTTTATCAAATGTTGTACATATATATATATATTATGAAATTTTTGTGCTGTAAAAGTTTCAGAATCGTTAGTTTGATGTGTATGGATAGCCGGGCAAAAAGAAGGTGATTTGCAACAAATAACAATAACCAAATACTTTTATTGAACTAAAATTAAACTGTTGATTTTTATTATTATTAGACTTATGCTATGACCACTTTTAAAAACAAAAACTTAACTTAGAGAGGTTCTGTTATTATCTGAGGTTCTGCTATGGTCTACTCTGAATTCCCGACTAACTACCTAGGCGATTTGCTCGTGTCAACCGACGGGCCCAGTAAAATGTCAAACTAAAAGGTTACTTACACATAAAAAATTGTTAAAAAAAGTTATGCATCAAACAAGTATAGTATTATTTCATAGAATCTTTTCGATAAAAATACATGGTACCAATTTATGAGATATTGAATTTTAAGTTCTTGTTTATAATATAATAAAAGTTGTTATCCGTGATCGGTTAGGTGTTTTTATATTAATATTTGTTATTTAGCAAAATGTATTTATTTGTTCTACAGTAAATTTAAATTATTATCGAAAAATACAATAAATAAAAATATTTTAATCAAACAGTTCTTGTATATGACGCTACCTACTTCCGAAACTTAAATAGTAAATTGCAGAACATTTTTTTTAACTAGTCGGTAACCTGTCTGCAATAATTACTTTTAAAATGAAAAAAGTTTTGAAATCAGGACTAATCGATCAATAAAAAATAAACTTAGTTTTAAAACGCTATGAAATTATGTGCAGTAAATTTTCAAATGACGAATGCACTCTAAAACATACCAAAAAAAAAAAATTTTAAATGTTACTTACTTTGTAGTTGTTTGATAAACCTTATAGGTTAAGTTATGTGTGAGAAATTCAAAAAAACACTAGTACAGTTTATGATCGGTTTGACTTTATGTAGTTAGTTTTGTGACTCTTCTCCACTTGCCGCATTTACTTAAATTGCAAGTTACACTCCTTTTGCAATATATTGTGTTTACACAGGATAACCAATCGGATACTTTTGTAGATGGTAAGACGGCTCTTCGCTGCCCCCACTTTGTCTTGTTAGTCCAATTAAAACGCTTGCTCAGGCGGCGTCAGCAAGTAGATTTTCTTTTTTTTAATATTACGAGAATTATTAAAAATATACATTTTTTTTATTAAGCAATTAATTCAAAAAGTATGAACATACAGGGGGGAAATGTTTTGTTTATGATTTACAACTTTAAAGCTATGTAGTGAATGAACTTTTTTAGATCAATTTTATTGTTTTCTTAGTCGAGTTTTAATTTTTTTAAAAATTTTTTTTTATTTTACTTTAGAAATATACAATCTGTACAATGAGCACAATAAGCATATATGATAAAAGTAGAGATAAATAACATGAATACATTTTGATGGAAGAAACTACTCATTAGTGACACTTCCAATGATTTTTTTTTAATTTTTAAACTTATATTTACATTGATTTAATTATGTATTAATATTAATTGATATTATTAGATAGAAGATCACGGCACCACTTACGTTTTAAACGTCTGGGTGGGTCTCCAGGTATGGACAAGGTTGAGAGGTTTTTTATAAGGGGATTAGAGTGGGAGAGTAATTTAATGTGGAATCTTTTATAGTAGGAGATAGCTTCTTCATGGACTGTTTTTAAGTTAAGGTCGTTATGGAGTGTATAATTAGAGATGTAAGGAGGTGCATTGATTAATTTTCTTAAGACAATATTTTGAAAGCATTGAATTTTTTAGCATTGACCCATAGCTGAAGGCCGTAAGTCCATATGGGTTTTAAAGGGGTTTTATAAATTAGAAGCTTAGTATTAATATCTGTAAATTTATTGTTTACGATTAATGATTTGAGTAACCGCAGACGGCTATTTAAAGACAACCGTTTAATTTTAATGTGCTGAGCCCATGTGAGTCGTTTATCTAGTGTGAGACCGAGATACTTGACAGAGGAAGAGGAGGGGATTTGTTCTCCGTATAGGGAGACACCAGGACAAGGGAGAAGTCTTAGAGTAAAGGTAGTATGAACTGATTTTGATTGATTAATTTTAAAACGCTATTTTGTGTACCAGTCTTCCATTAAAAGAAGATGATTTTGCAAATTGACGGATGCAATCTGTGGGTCAGAGTTACAGGACAAAATGGCTTTGTCATCAGCATAATCTGCAATAATTGTGTTAGGAGTTGTGGGTTGGTCTGAGTTTTCATTTAAATCTTTTTTTTATTAAAAAAATAATTTGTTTATTTTTTATTTAATAGAAATTTATTAAAATTATGATAAATTACTCAGCTTTTTTTTATAGTTTAAATAAAAGATTGGGTTGTCTTTGAAACCGCCAAATAAATTGCTCAATTTGTTTAACAATTTATAGTCTATCACTTATACTATCACTTTCTGATTCGTTCGGTTAGAGAGACAGCATTATGAGAGACAACTTAATGCATTAGCATGAAAGCTTAGGTTTTAATATCTAAGTAGAAAGATGCGCCCCGCGTTTTTCTAGTTCACCTGTCCTATTTGGTTATCAAGAACCCAATTATTATAATTATAATAATAAAAATTTTACTTTTTTTCACAATTATTGTGAAAAGAATAAAATAATCAATTTTTCTTAGAAATCGTCCTAAATTTTCGGAAAAATAGTCTTCAATAAAAAAATTAATTATTTTTTTATGGTACCATTTAAGTTTAAAAAGTCGACCTTCGGTGGATTTTGTAGACCTCAAGAATACGTTTTCAGTCGGTATTTTGCTATTTTCGTTTTCTTTGACTACTGTTTGCGCATCGATGAAAAATAATAAACCGTCATAAAACAAACACTATGTAATAATACACGTGCACCTTTTCATTTTCTCTTAAGATAATCGCATTTCTAAGTTTTTATAATAATCGGAAACACTTATTGACTGTGGACAACACCTTGAACAAAAGTTCGTCGCTGGACATGACGTACAAAATTCGGAGCAGAGGAAAAATGACACCTATTAAACTGCAGTAGACGTCCGAACAATTTCAATTTTCTCATATGCTGTAAACACTAAATCATTATTATTATAATAATTTTGGTTAAACGAAATTACGTTGTTGTGAGTGCGGATATGGCGCCCACGGCGACTATGTATTCAACCATTCAATACTAATCACGATTAATTTCTGAAACTAAAACATTTATTCTATAATAAGTTTATTTTTAAACGTAAACGTTTTGAAAACAATTTTTGTTTACTTTAGTAGTGTTATGTTTAAATAAATAACATAAATTAAATAAAAACGGAGTTTAAAAGTTATATAAAATTATAATTATATTTTAAGATTTTGAATATTTCCACTAAGCAAAAAAAATGCTTAAACAACATTAAACAAACGTAAAACAAGTAACTTTAATGATTAAATAAACGTTTGAATTGAGTTAAAATTCCATTAAATAACATTAATGTAACATTTATACAATGTTTTGTAGAACAAATTTGGACCAAAAAGTCACGTTGTATGAATATAAAAATTTAACACTCAATAAATGTTAAAAATTAAAGCTTACTACAACTTTGATAAAAGACTATATTTATAACGATTTTTCATTTTAAGATAACCTTAATACTTACACAATGTTTGTATAGCCCATATTTTGGGATAAATATATGCGGCAGCTTATAGCCTCATCCGCCCGCCCCTACTTAGTTATTTTACGAATTTATAAATAACAAGCCATATTATTTTAAATTGGATATATAGATTATATATATATTTTGTATTTATAAATTATATTAGTAGTAAAATACTTCAAATGAAGTATCGAAATAATATGAATTGTAGGTAAACAATACAATTAAACTCAAATTAAAAACATGTAAGTTTAATGTAATAATATAAACACTCGTTTTATATACATACAAAACAATTAATAAAATAATAAAATTATTATAAGATATATAGTTTTATTTGTGATCGTTATTTTCTTTAACTTGAACTTTTGTTTGAAAAAGTGATTTCTCAAGTAATGTTATCTAATTTCGAAAAAAAACATGTACTCTTGAAAAAGGAAAATTTTGGGGCGACGCACCCCCTAAAGAACTGACGAAATAGTAGTAATATTATATATTAATTGATATTTTATATTATATTAGAATACAGTATTAACATTATAATTTATATTTAAATATGATGACGATGATGCTATGCGATTGTGCTGAGTAGCTGCAGGGCAGCTGTCGTGTTGTGTGCGACATATTGTGATTACGCACATAATATATAAAACACGTTTTCATATTAGGTATAATAGCTATTGTTAAATTATTTTATTGCGATGAATTCGGTATTAATATTACTCTGAGGTTCGAGCGGCTGGGACGCGACCCGTCTCAATTAAGATAAGATGGTGCTACTAGAGATTTAATATATTATGTATATATTTAATCTGTAGTGCTGTGGATCGCCCATATAAAAACTAACAGGTTTTCGTAGTAGCTCTTAAAATAATTTCGTATTACCGGCGGCGGCCGTATAAGCTATAATGTCAGATGTGCGATGATTGCTACGCAGAATATATATATAGTATTTTATATGTATCCATAAAGAAACTTTTGGAGGATAAGGCCATAGGTGCCTTATTTAAAGGAGCACACAGCACAATTTTCTTAAAATTATTATTACATTTTAAGTTATTGTGGTAAGAACTATTAAAAACGATTTGGTCAAAATCCGATGCAATAAAATTATTTTTTAAGGAGATATTATAGGATATTTAGAATAGCCGCGTGACGTCATTGGGCCGAGCTCGCTATAACTGCCTATATTACACGTGTAAAAGTAGCTCGCTTTATACAATATGATTTACCAACCTGTACATTTTATTTTTAATAATTTTTTTTACACTGAAATATGTGGTTTTTTGTGCTAACTACGATAGAAGTATCAGAATTTTAATATGACGATTAATTACGTGGGTTAAATGTTGTATGAACATCAAAAGTTATGTATTAATAATTTAATCCTTTAACTATATTTATCTTATATTAGCAGATTTATATTGAAGTAACATGTATTATAAAAACTTGTATGGATGTTTCGCCAACAACAGTAATTAAACGTTTAAATTAAAATATCAACTGAGCTTTGTATGAATATAAAGGTTTTTATGTATGACATTTCAGTTTAATTAAAGGTTTTAGTAAGATTACAAATAATATTTAATTTAAATATTACAACTTAAACATCTATACTGTGGTAAATAAACATTCATATTTAAATATTTAAATTATAATGCACAAATAATGTTCATACTATGTTCAAAATGACTTAACATTTTCATAAGAACAGAGTTTTTATTTGAATTTTATACATTGGTTCATGATTACATACTTATCTAATTTTTCACATATAACATAATAAATTTTAAACATTCTACATAAAAATGACATAGAAAACAAAAAAAGTAAGAATAATAACAAGTAGAAATCACAGTATATAAAAAAGAAGGTAAAACAGGTAACATTGTGTGCTGGCCTACAGCTGCCGCTGCCGTACGTCAGTGAGGTGCTCGATGTATATGTCTCGAGTGTATCCAATCACCTCACTAACGCACAGTTTTCGCAACAGCGATGCGTATGACCGCGCACACAGCTTCTGCAGGAGCAGATCGTTGCTCGGGTCCCAAGACCCGAGTGCACCCACTACCACTGGGTACACCACTGCTCTTGCATTAGCCTCGGCCAACTCGGCCCGTAAATCTTCATATTTCGCACGTTTCCCGTCGGCGGCTGTCTTGAACGATGCAACGCGGTTTTCGGCCGGGATCGTCACATCGACGATATAAACACGACCGTCACGCCTGAGCACCAGGTCGGGCCGCAGTCCTCCGCTCCCGATCACCTGGTTTTCGCTCAGAATTTCGAATTTGGGTTCCGCCGCCTTCTTAATTCTCGCCAC